GAACCGGCCGCCGAGGGGCTGCCCTGCGCCCGCCGCCTCCGAGGCCTCCGGCTTAACCCTCCTCAGGGGGCTCGTCCCCTCCCTTCTGCTCCCGGAACGTCCTTTTAGAGTCACTCGGTGTTTCAGAGACAACACGTTCCCCGGGGTTATTGCAGACGGGTTTTCTGGGGGGAGGCGGTTTGGTTTTTGAGGATAAAAATCCCAATTCGATCCTCTCCCTCTCTGTGTAACACCGAGTCTGGGACTGGGCTGTGTTTTCAGCTGAGTCTTAATGATATTTATGCCTATTGTTATTTGACTAAAAAGTTTTCAGCAGTTGTTTTGATGAAATGAAGAGTCTGCCCTGTGAGTTGTTGGCAGTGTGCTCGCCTCATCCCGATTAATCATTTCCTTCATTCTTCTGGCCTTGTTTCAGAACAGTTTATACTTGGAGACATCGCTCATAAAGGTCCTGTCCGTTGTGTCACCTGCTAATGGGATGTTTCCTTCAGCATTAGTAATGCGGTTGCCTAAATTAACCCAAGAGGGTTCCCAAGCTGCCATAGGTGCTCATGCTGAAGAGGGTTCTCAGAGGCACTTCTGTGAACTTGTAAACTAATGATTTGTTTGACTAGAAAAGCACAAATAAGGAATCGAGAATTTAGGCTTAAAACACAGTTCATGGTAAAATTTGACTTGTCTGTGTTTGCTACTTTATTGAGGGGGGAAAAAAAACCCCATATTCAACTAGAATTTCCCAGAGTTTAAGGGGAAAATGAACACAAGTTCTCTGCTTTGCACTAGTGTTAGCTGCAGGATTCTGTAATCTTTGGATTACTTTGGAAGAGTGTTTGTGCTACTGAATTAGAAAATAAAATAATTTTACATATAATAATTTCTAAATCCTGCACTGTTAGTTAAATTCTTATTCCCATAGTATGAAGAAAATATATTTGTCTTTATTTCCTTTGGTTAGTCTGTTTCTAAATTATCAGGAATACCCCAGTAATGTGAAAATAGTATTCCTTCCCAATGAAGGTGTCATTCACAACTAGAAATAGTTCTGCTTGCTCATTTCCATGCTATAAACCTTTGCATTTTCACTACATCGCCCATCTGGTGCCGTGCTTGTTCCATCAAGAAGAGATATAAACGTCAAGCTGACAAAAGGCCAATACAGAAAATTGCTGGATGCTGTTTGTAGCAGGTGTCGGGGACCTGCCATTGCATAGAGATGAGGATTTTATAGCTGGTCAGTGCTATGTCTGACTAACAACTCTTGATTGAAATGCCCTGGAGGAAGAGGAGTGGGTGAAAAAGCTGTATGCCTTTAGAAATAATGTACACAGGTGAAGGAACTGTTATTTTTCTTTAGAGTGTCTGCTAAATGTTTGATATTTCAGTTTGTCTTAGCTTTACTAGCTTCTCTCTTTCTGTCCATGTCTGTTAGGAGCTGGTGCGTCAAGGAGAGGCGCTGAAGCGCACAGAACAGATGGTCGATAAAATGGACCAGGACTTGAAGACGAGTCAAAGGCACATAAACAGCATTAAAAGTGTTTGGGGGGGCTTGGTAAACTACTTCAAAGCCAAACCTCCAGAGAGCAAGCCAGAGCAGAATGGAACCCCTGAATATTATGCTAACAGTAGGTAAGTAAAATAAACGTTTTACTTTCAACTTATTTCCCACAGCACCTCTAAAATGTCACAAGAGCATCAGAACTTAAAGATCTGTTGATTCTGTCAAGTAAACTCCTGAGATGGTGTCTAGCTCCCTTTTACCCAAAACTGACAAAAAATATTTTTACTTGTATTTATATCTGTAGTGGTAAGAATAACTTTGTGGGAAAATGATTTAAACAATTACACAAAATTCTGCAGTGTCTTTTGAATAATCATACTTACTTCAGTCTTATCAGGAAATCATGATTTGCAGCATTAACATGCTTCCAGTTAAATATTATGTGTATTTCTCTAGCACCTATTAAAAGCTGTAAATAAGAATTAATTGGTATAAAATTACTGTGTCTTACAGTACTTGTCTCTCTTCAGCTGAGGAATTCATGTAAAGCCTGATAATGCTGCATGGATTGATTTCCTCCTTCCCTTCCTCCCCCATCCTCCACTAGAGGAAAGGATTATGTTGCATCCAAGATACAGTTTTGGTTTTTATATCACAATTTCCATATGCTATTTTCAGCATTAAAACGACTAGTTCTGCTTTCACTGAAGACAAATGCTAATAGTTCATTTTAAAGTAACATTTTGGATCAGGTCTAACCGATTTGCTCTTCTTGTATAAATCTAATACCTGTTCTTGTGTAACAGATTCAAAATGGGGCCTGTGCTCCATAGGAATGTTTTCTTTCTGTTCTCTTTATTACTAGATTAAAAGAAGCAATGATGTCTAGTAAAGAACAAGAGTCAAAATACCAGGAAAGTCATCCAAATTTAAGGAAACTAGATAACTCAGGTTTGTGAACTTTATTTTACACTGAATGTCTGTCGTCAACGTGGGGCAAACTTGCACGGTGGTGAAGGCAGAGACCTTTCAGCCTGCCCAGCTGCTGGTTTATGTTGCTGCCTAACGTTTGGAGATTTGTACCCCAGCCTTCTTGGCTTTGAATTCTAGGGAACTGTTTCCCCTAAAACTCTTTATACCTGTACTGAAAGCATTAATGTTTTTACTTGGATGCAGATTTTAACTAGCCCTTCCTGCAGGGAATTGATGGTATATAAAGGCTTTAAGAGCATCCAGTGCTTGTATTTGCTCAGAGGATACTATAGCCGAGAACGCACACAATGTGCAGGCAGCATTGTCCTGTGTTTGCCACAATGTTAACTTACACATTCATTTTTAACCATCATTTGTCATGGATTTCAGATATGTTTTCCTTTTTATTCCAAACATGGACTATAACCATTCATGCTGAAGTCATTACTTGATTCACACTAGGAAGCATACAGGGTTTGGTCTTGTTCCTCATTCTCACAGCGCATTAACTTCTGTGATGACTTTTATGTACACAGTAACTGTTCCTCTTTAAAGTGAGGTGCAATTATTTAGTTTAGTAAAAGCGAGAAAGCAACAAGGTGTCTTTTTAGTTATAGTTCTGTAATTAGAGAGATGCTTTTTGGTAACATTAATCTCCATAATATAAAAGTCTGTCCAATAGAGGGCAGAAATAACTCTCTGGTGGCTTGACCTGGGGGAACACTACCTGCTGGTAGAAGTTACCAACCTACCTTCTTTGTTGGCTGGGTGGCTGTTTTTCTCTTAACCACCCAGTAGAACTACAAAAGGCAGCCCAAAAGAGAATTGTGGTAGCTTAGTTCATCTTCAGGGGTGCCCTATAGATAGTGGTGTGGGACTATTTCTCATGCTCCTTCTAACAGTTTATGTGACTAAACTGTGGTCCGACTAATTTTTAATAGTCTTTCTAAAACTTCAAAGCCTCTTCTTGCTAGCTTTTTTATTATTTAATATTCTGTGTTTTATACTCTTAACAGACAGTGATTTCAGCAAAGCAGATTTAGTTTCTTCAGTGCAAAGGGATTCCTATCCAAAGAACCAACACCTGCGAGCTTACCACCAGAAAATTGATAACAACTTAGGTGAGTGACAAAATTGAAGCTGTTTGATGTAATACAATTTTAAATTTTTGGTTCTGAAGCCAGAGAAAATTACTAAGTAATATATTGCCAACAAACACCTTTTTGTTTAGTTCACATGTGAAATTTGGTAATTAAAAAAAATCATTTGCTTATACTCTACATTTAAAACCTATTGACATGGCAAAATCCAAAGTTTGATTGAAAGATACATTATTTGAATGGCAGAATGTTGTGGAATGTCTATGGGTAAACTACTTGCAAATATTGATAACAAATCTGAGTTAGAAATGCATTTCATGTGAAACCAGCTAGAAACAAATTGGCTGGGATGCCTGGGATAGTATAAATCTACTGTGGAAACTGATACACTATTGCCATCAATGCTTAACTCTTCTGCACCACACTTGTGCTTTAGAAATAGACTTTGAACTGTCGATGAGCAAAGAGACCAGGGGGTAAAAAGACACACCAAAAGCATGAGTTTTATTTTATATTGACAATAAGAAAAACACTCTTACCAAATGTGAATATGCTAGCAAATCTCTGTCATTTGAATGATGAAATTGTGCTGAAGTATCCTGTAACACTTGCATTCAGTATATTAACATGTTTCTTTGAGTCATCCTCCAAGTTGACTGAAATACCACTGGGACAAGCAGGCTTGTTCATCCATTCTGAAAAATCTTACTAAGCAAGTACTACTAGTATTAATAAGGAAATACTGCTTCAAATTGACATCCAGATTCTACCAGTATGAATACTTCCTCTTTTTCTGAAGCTTACCACTTAGATTGAAAGATGCATTTAGATTACCTAACTGACAGTTAAACTCAGATATTAAATTGTGCATCAGCTTGGACCCAAAGAATTTACAGCTGTGTGCAGCTTTTGAATTAAACATGTTTTGCAGAAAATAGAATGGTCCAAAGACAGTGAATATTTAATTTGTGAATGTGCTGCATTTCTTTTATTACTTCCCAAAACATTCAGCTGACTTTCTCTCCCTTTGTTCTGTAGCATATATACAAAGTGCCTGTTTGCTTACATGTCACCGTTTAGCTGACCTAGAAAGAAGAGATTGGAAGGAAAGCAGAAAGGAATAGATCAAGAGAAACAGTCAAGCATAAGAGTTAGTGGAAGCGCATTTGTTCTACTCCTAAGCTGTGCGAAACTTACTGGCCTTAGAAGCATTTATACCAGTCAATCATGCAATAAAGTAGTTTTCCTGTAGCCAAATTAGACAATCTGGAAATGGGATTTTTCCATCTGTGTTAAATAACTGCTCAAATGTTCAGTGTATTGACAATATCTCTGCATGAAGTTTAAAGAAAAACAATTGAGGTAGTGAGCATATTGTGTATGCTGAGCTGAGAAAAGATGTACCCAATTGTCTATAACATACGATTTTTTAAAAAAGTAAAAACTACATTACAAGGTATGTATTTTTATAAAGACCCAATTTGGTTTTAAGCATTTGTAGTTAACATGAAATGGAAAAAAGAAGGAAGTGTGTATTTCTGGTAGTAATCTGGTAGAAGTGTTAAAGTGTTGGTGCTTCCACTATTGGAGAAGAACACTCAGACTTGAGGAGTTGTAACTAACATATTCTAAACCCAGGGTTTTCAAGAAGAAGGAATCCTGACAGTGTCCATTTCAACAGGATGCTTTATACTGCTTTGATTCCTTATGCTCCCTCTCTTTGTTGACAGATGAGATGTCTTCTGGGTTGAGTCGTCTGAAAAACCTAGCTCTTGGCCTGCAGACAGAAATAGATGAGCAAGATGATATGCTGGATCGGCTAACAAAAAAAGTAGAGACACTGGACGTCAATATTAAAAGCACTGATAAAAAAGTCCGACAACTTTAAAGGATTTTTAGAAATTTTTTGTCCAGTGTCAGTTCTTCCTGGATGTCTTATCTCAACCGATCTCTTAAAAAATCTCGGACAGTATCTGTTTCTCTTTTTTCTGATATGTTATTGATTTTGTTGTCATTAAAATTGTATAACCTTAAGTGCAGCATAATACCTTAAACTTCTTCTTAATGTACATGGGAAAAGTGCATGTTGAGTAAAATCTCTCAGCACTTGGTAAATCCTCTGCTCAATTGTATAACTGTGCGTCATGTGCGTGGAGGAATTTGCAGTCTACAAAGCTTCAGTGTCCTTGGCCTGGGAGCTGTGATGAGAAAAGTAACTGCATTTTGTCTGTGTTTTGGGGAGGGGGCAGAGGGAACAGAATGTGCTTCTTTGTTCTGAACAAATGTTGCTAATTCTGTTTACCTACAGCTATTTTAAATTCTGAAAAAAAAAAAAAAAAAAAAGCTGATTTCCAGCTGTAAAAATAATTTGAAGTGACTGTTCTCTGGCATTTCTGGGGCTTAAGGAATGAGCTGTTCTGTGGAAGTTGTAAAATATCTAGGGTGTCATGCAGTAAAGATAATATCCTGTGCATGTTCCTTTTCCCAAGATGACTTTCGCCAAATGGTGGATCCATGAACTGTGTTTGTTATGTTTGGGTCACTAAATGCTATCACCTTTACAGTCCTTTCAGTAAAGGTATCTTATGGGCTGCGAGAAATGTTCACTGACAGTGACCCAAAAAGTTTGAGTAACAAAGTAAGGACTTAAATGTATGTGCTCTTAAAAAATTATTTTGTAGAAGTTGTCACCATCTGCTTTTTTATTTTCTGCTCTTTCTCAGCTTACTCAGTTAGGTGGTGATTTGAAAAATAGCTTCCATTTTAGAAATGGAGAGTTGGTCTGATATTGCACAAATAGATCATAGGAGATCGTTCTTTAACATTTATTTCAGATGTGATTAGGGATTGAGCAGATGCTGTGTTTTTCTAGTTAATGTGACTGTTTTCTAGAAACTGAGCTATGCTTCACATCCTTCTGCATTGCCTTAGCAGGTATGAAAAGTTCCTGCAAATGAAGAAAAACTCAAAAATGTTTTTGAGTCTTCCATATACAGGTTGGGCGTTCCAATTTGATTTATTCTTTTGTAAGTACCACTGTAGAACAAAATAATTACAATTCTGTTCCAGCCTGAAGACATGACAATGAGAACTTGCCATCTGTCTTGAAAACAAGTAAGTTATTTTGGTTTGGAAAGGCCAAGGGACCTGTGTCAGTATTTCAACACTCACTATCACAAATGACAATAAGTGGCTAAGAAGAGATAGTTATTTTTTTGAGCTGATGCCACAATATCTTATGAGTTAAAGGAAGACCTTGGTGTTTAGGGCTATCGAGCTTGTATCCTTCAGGAACATCACATTCACACCCTCCCTTGCCTTTTTTCCAAGGCATTTGTTACCTTGAGTTCACTTGCTACAAAGTGCACCCAATTGTTAAGGAGATAAAAGAAAACCTGGGCCTTTCTTGTTTTGCTGTGTCTCCTGAAAGTTCACCTGTAGAAAAATAAATCATCAAAAAAAGCTCCATTTCCTGGACATAGTATTACAGAAAAAAATATTATTCCTGGGATTACTAGCCGAGTTGTGAATTAGATTTAAGGTGAGCCTCTGTTTCTCCTTATGTTACTGATGTAATTAATTTCAGTCTCTAAAATAATGTGTTTTGCAGGGGCATAAAACTTTAAGAGCTATTGGTTACCTTTAATTGCTTTTTAATTTTCATTTTGTGTCATTTATGCTTATTTGGAACCATAAAAAAACCTTACTGATATCAATGTATCATTTAACTTTTTAGGAGTATACCATGATTAATGCTGTCTTCCTATATTTATTAATTATATTTGATTTCTCAAGAAGGTTGATACATTTATTATACAATCATTAGTTTTCAAAATGTTAAGTACCTCAGTGAAGGAAGCTTAAAATTTTTATTATAACTGGTTTAGTTTTTTATTTGACTTTTTCCTTTGAATAAAAAGGGTAAAAACACTTGTATTTTTTCTTATCCCAATGCTGGTTAACAGAAACACTTTTAGAAAGGATGTATAAATTCTCTGCAGAACAGAGAACACCAAAAAATTGCATAGTGATTAATAACTCCTTTTAATGTGAAATCTGCCTTCACCTGTATGCAATTATTTCACAACTAATTTTTTTCCAAAGTAAGACTTTGGTAACTAAGATGTATGTGGAGACTTTCTGCACTAGGTTATGCCTAATGGAGGAAACATGTAGCTGGAGGAGCTAGTTGTGTTATGTGGAATAAGAAATGTGGAGCTTTAATCCAAGGAAAATTTTGTGTTGATTTAAGAGTGAAGTGTGTTGCCTTTCTGATGTAAGCTATTCCATTTTTTTTAGTCTAAATTATTTCACAAAACAGTCAAGTTTTTGGTGAACTGTTTAATTGTATTAGCCTTATGAAATGTTTACTGCGTCCTGGTTATCTTTGCCTTTAAAAACACAGGCAGAGAAGGGGAATTAAAAAAATAAATCCCTATTTCTGCTTTGAGAACCTTGTGATCCGAGCAGACTAGAAATCCAGGATCTCAAGCCACGTGGAAGTTACACAGAGGTCTCGCTTCTCATCTCTTCTAACAATCCCATTCACTGTCTCAGTAATGTATGTCTTTGCTTAGGCTTTCCTGCTCTATTTTATTTTGTTGGGGTTTTTTTAAAGGCCTTGTTTTAAAGGATTATTTCCCACGTTGGATTTCTTTTGTGGGGAAAAAAAGATTGTACGTGGGTATAAAGGAATTTCTGCTACAAAATGAATTCCCTTTCTCAGCTTTCATACAGATGCTTTATGCTGATAAAGATCTTAAGTCTGACATGAGGAGACAACACTATTTTGTAATAGTGAGTATTTTTTTTGCTCATTAGAATAACTTTCCATTCTGCAGAAAGGGGAAAAAAAACCCACATGATTTTTGCCTCTCCAGGAAACGTCATTTTGCATGTGTTACGAAGGACTTACTTCAGTAGCTTTTCTTACTATTTCCTGAGATAGCTTTATTTTTTCTTGGATACTGTTTAAAAACTTACCTTCTGTAGGGTACAGGACATTCAGAAGAAATCGAATTTATACTCAGGCACTAATTTGGTAAGCTAAATGATGTTGCCTAAATACTTATGTTGGCATAAAAACTGGTGTCCTTGCAGCAAAATAGCTCTGGTTAATTTTATTCTTTCTGGGTTGAGTAGAAGTTTAATATAAAAGGTGATTTTCTTTCTTCTCAAAAAGTTTGCTAATAAGTTTTGAAGAGGTTTTAAACACCGAGAAGTAGCATACTCTTTGTAACATAGATATAAGAGAACATACTCTAAAAGCAGCAAGGAAAATAAAAAGTGGGAATAACCAGTATCTGACTACTAGCTTCCTACATGTATTTGATTTCAAAGTTTCCTGAGCATTGTATTAAATACTGTAACAAATGTTGTGTAGCTGAATTTTAGTCTGTACTACAAAGATTTGTTGCTGTGCTGATCTCTATTGGCCTACTGAAATTGTTGGGACACTATATGGTGTCGGGGGGGGTCTAATGTGTGAAATTTATCTGAAATATTTTGCTGCCTAGTAGTTTTTGTGATGTAATTTGTTAAATGGTGAAATAGAAAATACTTTCCAACCACTCTGCCTTCTGAACAAACAGATTTTTGTAGACATTTTTACAAGCATAACATCATATGAAGGATATTTGTTAATTTTGACTTTGAAATATATGTGGTTTAATTTTCAAAATCACAGGTAGTGATTAGTTGTCTGTGGCTTTTTTAAATAGTACTTTAATTCCGTGCCACCCATCTATAGCATTTTTTATACAAGTCAAATTCAAATACCTTTTTCTTTTATTTAAATGCTAAACTGCACTGCAGTTCAGCAATTTAGGAGATTGGATTAAATGCGTGTTGAATGGTGAGAGACGGTCAATAAAGGTGCTTATTGTTAACGGAGAGTTTTTGCATTTATTCCCCCAAATTCTTTGTTTACAACTTCATTGACACTTCTTTCCTATAAGATCTGTTAAAATGCTGGATCTACTCTGTTAAATTTGTGCCAGAATGGAAATAAGTTTGCAGCTGGTGGGTTTTGTTTTCTGAAGATAAAAAGAAAGTATTACATGTCTACTTGTCTCTTGAGTAGATTCTTTTAGGTCCTGAAAGAGGAATGCAAACAGGCATTTATTTTTGCAAAACTTTAACTGATGGTGATAGAATAATTCAAGATGTTGCTTGGAAAGTAATCTTGCCACAGTGTTTGGTATTATCAGGAATATAACAGGATGTATGTGTGAACAAGGCAGGCGGAACAGGAGTAAGGCAAAAACACCCAACATCTTGAAAACCTGAACCCGACAGGTATGTAATATTCCTGTGTGGTCCCAAATTTAGTGGTGGCAGAAAACTTAAGCATGTCCTGACCTTCTGTTAGATTCTTATCTGTATATGAAGGGAGGAACTTGGCTTCTGAAGATTTTTTGTAGTAGAGTTTAATTTTGTTCAAACTGAATTTTGTTACAAAAGCTCTGAAAAGGGAAAGTTAATATACTAGAGAGAGATTGACTTTTTTTTTTAAATTTCAGATAACTTTGTTTTGCTGCCTTTGTGCTAAGAGTTCTTCAACAAATGGGATCTGAGAGCTCTTCATCTCTGCAGTTTATTGTTACACATAGAGAAAGCACAATAATGTGAAGCGCACAGTGGAAGATGGTAGGGAATGGAGCAGTGCAGTGGATTCTGGATCTCTGCTAGGAATATTATTAGCTTGCTGTGCATGGAGAATCAGTTTCTGAGTCTTAGAAGAGAAAGTATTTAACAGAAATCTGTTTGTTTATGGCTGGTCAGGTATTTCAACCCTTTTGTGTTTTCTCAAGGACTTATTTGCTTACAACCTAGTCCCTGCCTCTCTGGGAAATGAGAGGGGGAAGGGGAGGTAAAAGGTGTTTGTAG